CACGGGCGCCCCCCCCAGCCCCTAACAGCAGCCAGATCCAGACCTCTGGTACCTGCTGTTCCTGCCTGAGCCCTTCCACTCACACGTCTGGTCAAGGTACAAGATGGGCAACATGGGCGCAGTGAGACCTTAGGTGTGGGAAGAGCCACTGTTATATCCTTGAATCTGCCTTCCCTGGGAGGGAGCACAGAGGGGAGAGTCTTTCACACAAGAGCCAGGATTATGATGGCAGATACTCATGACATTGGGGGCAGAGGCAATGAATAACCCTGAACCAAACCCAACCTAGATGCTCCAGAGCCCACCCAGCTGCTGTTACCCAAGGGGACAGGAATCCTTACTCAGCCAGTTCACAGCCTCATAATTCTCCTGCATCACATCCCTGTAAAGGGCTCTCTGGCCCAGGTCCAGCAGAGCCCATTCCTCCTCAGAGAAATACACAGCCACCTCCTCGAAGCTCACAGGCTCCGCCACGGCCACTTCCTGTCCCTGGCTCTGCAGGCCAGGGGCTGAGCTGGAGACAAACATGGGTGTTCTGCAGCCTGGTAGGGGGAGAAGAGGAATTGGAGACATTTCAGAAGTGGCTTTAATCCTTTCCACACCCCAATTCTCCCCAGACTCTGTTCCTGGTGACACACATGCTAGACTCTGCCATTGTGGGCACAAGTTTTAGTCTAGATATTCCATAAACAGCACACAGGAGTTCGATCCCAAATACACATTCATTTCTGTCTGTACCTGGCTTGAGTTACAAGATTACTGCCTCTGCAACAATGGGATTTAGTTCTCAGCACCCTGTGTTTCTGATAAGCCATATATTCATCTGCCTGAACATGGACATAGGTTAAATGTAATCTGTTGTATTTAAAATTCTTAGTCTTCATTCATTGATTTGCAGCACATACTTTGCTCTCATCTCACGGAGACGTTATAAACACTTTCCACAATAGAGAGGCAGTGAAGTTAACACCACCATTCAGATGCTTATTATTAAACACGTGTGCTGAGTGTTTGCAGGATGAGATCTTAGGATATCTTCTGATCCCATGAATCTTAAGTCATGCAGTCTGACCCCCTCTGTGGCACAAGCCATTACACTTAGTCCAGTTACCCAGCCACAAAGCTGTTTCCCCACAATGTGTTTTGTAAAATGTCCCCCAGTGATTTGAAGACATCAAAAGATGGAGAATCCACCAGTTTTTTGCTCATTTGTTTCAGCAGCAAATCCTCTTCCCTATCAAACATTTGTGCCTCTTCTCTAGCCTGAAATAGTCTCGCTTCAGCTTTCACTTATTGGCTCTCTCTGAGCATTATCCAGTCAACGGTGTGGGCAATACATTTTGATGGGGGGCCAAATGGAAAGTGGCTGAGAGCTGCACTCTTCCATGACATTAATGCAGGGACATTGGGAGAAGGAAGCAATATCGGGGTAAGGGTTTGGGATGCAGGACAGGTAGAGGGGTCTAAGAGGAAGTTTGGGTGAAGGAGGCAGGCTGTGATCTAGGACACTGGATTAGCCAACTACGCATTAGATATCTAAAGTAAAGTTATTTTAACTAAGTGGCTGAGTGGACAAATAAGGGACTGTGGGTTTCTGACCAGTGAGAGCTCTTGCATATATAGCTGCAGGAGGAGGACAGAGTTTGGGTATGCAAAATGTGGGGCAGATATTAGGAGGGGAAGGAAGAGGCTGGGGTGGCAGAGGCAAGCTCTGGACAGGAGATTTATCTGAGTCACTCCTGGCCAGAGGCCAAGCACCTGAGGAAGGCAGGGAGCCTGCCCGACCCTCTCTCAGGCTGCAGGGCCATGTGGGTGTGTGAATAATTATGACCAAGAGGGGAGGGGGCGCAGTGCTTTGTTTCTGGCCAGAAACTGGCCAATGAGATTGTCCTGGGGGTGGAAACAGAGCCTGAAGCCTTCCTCCCTACCCTCCAGGCTCACAGTTACTTTCTGAGTGACTTGCAGATGAGGAGTGGCATCTGTGGGTTGGATCAAATGGCTTGGTGGGGTGGATCCGACTCATGGGCTGTATTTTGTCCAGGCCTGCACTAGACGTAACAGCCCTTGGAGATCCAGCAGTTTCTTGCCATCAATGAACTGATATAGTGGAAGCCAGTCAGCTCTCAGCCTATTTATTGTTCGAAATCAACCCCATATTGAAACTGACTGAGCAACGAAATCTGAACGTAAAGGTGCCGTCCATTGTGTGCTTTAACTTCACCCCCTTAGCATCACAAGCCCATTGACCAGTGTTTCTCAAAGTGTCCACAGGGCCCCATGCAGTGCCCCTGGGTTTCCTCACTGATCAGTGGGTGAGATTTAGGGCTGTGCTTGCCATGGTCGCTGGGTTTGGTTGGTAACTTCAATGACAATCCCATGAAGATGTTTTCACAGGAATTTTCTCATCATTTAAAGAATCCCCAACTGCAAACTCACCTTGTCTGAAAGCTCCCAGGGATTTTCCTCTTGCTCTCTCCAGTACATAGGGCAGAGTGTCTGGTGGGGGAAGGGATAAGAGAGGTGAGATTCCAGGCTCTCCTATTTATAACAATGTCCCTCTCTGGATTCTGCGTTTCAATTGTATCAGAGACCAGACAGACACACACTCAGGAACAGAGTATGAAACAGTCTGAAACTTTCATTTCCTCTCTCATTTGGGCACCTCCCAGCAATGGAGCCAACATCCCCACAAGCTGTCCCAGGAGAGACAACCTGTAAATGAGATTTACTCTTCCCTCCTCACCCCCTCCCACTTGGCTTCTCATTCACTTACTGCCTCTTATCATAACCTGGAGCTGTGGTGGTGGAACACGTGGCCATCACAGTAATTTTAGCCATTTTGATCTCTGAATGGGAGGTTCAGAGTTTGCAAACCCCTGGCTCTATTTGCAAGCAGTCTGTTTGCTCAGTGTGTCTAAGGACAGCAGAGTGATGGGACCGTCATTCTCTGTGTGTGAACTGAGGCAGGGGAAGGTTGGCTTCAGAGGCCAGATTCAATGGTCTCAGATACTTGAACCACTTTCCCCTCATCCATCCCTTCCAGGTACCTTTGAACTCCCTCAGAGTCTTCAACAGAGCAATTGTTTTCTGGGAGAAACCTCTGACTTGTTCTTCTAGTTCAGGGGAAATCTCCTCAGGCAGCTGGAACTGCCCCATAACACACCTGGACAGAAACAATTCAACGTGATTCAATTTCATTTACTGCTGATAAGTTCTGGCTACCGAGTCTCAGCTCTAACAGGCCTGGAGTTAGAATTCCTCCAATTTTCCCAGCCTGAGAGTAGGGGCAACAATTCATGGCCATGCAACCTTCCCCTGAAAGGCCCCACTGCTGTTCTTCATCTCTGGCCTGGGGAGACTGGCTGGGTGAGAAAAGGGGAATGGAGTCTTCATGGGCAACTCACTCCTTGGCCTTCGGGCACTGAGAGACAAGAGGTTCTCAGGTGAAGGGATGAAGGAATCTGTCCACTAGGGACTAGACAGACACCAGCTCCCCCCTCCCCAGCTCCCCCCACACAGGTCTCCAAACAGCCCTCAGGTGGGACAGACTCTTGCCCCCAGACACTGAAAGACAAGAGGTTCCCGGGTGAAGGAATCTGTCCACTAGGGACTAGAATGAGACACCAGCTCCTCCCTCCCCAGCTCCCCCCACACAGGTCTCCAAACAGCCCTCAGTTGGGACAGACTCTTGGTCCTTGCTGCCCTGGGCTGACTGTGCCCAGTGCCCAGCAGCAACAGGCCCACGTTCCACCTCACAGTCCTGAGGTAGCCAGTCCCCAGGGAGGTGACAGCTCCAGGAAACACTTGAGGTCAGACTGATCCCTGAATAGGGAATCCCAGAGTCTGCTGTGCGACGGTGAGACTCTCAGAATTCAATGAGTCAGAGATATTCGTATCTAACATCTGCCTCTTAGAGCCCTATGGAGATGTGGTGCTAACATCAGCTCCAAGCTCCTTCCCTGAGCTGTGCAGCGTGAGGGGAGTGAGAGCCACGTACCTACTCAGGGTGCTTCTGATGTCCTAGGAAAAAAGAGACAGAAAAGACTCTCAGCCCCATTGGATAAACACAGGGGACCTCAGAGAAGGGATTTTGCAAACCTGGGAAGAGAGCCCCTGTCCTGGGCCCAGGAACATGGATCTCCTGAGCAAATGGGGCTTTACGATCTCTAGTAGCTCTGTGCCTGTAACTTTACAAACCACGGCAGTTACTCACATGGCAGCAATGCACATGGAGTTGCTGGGATCCAGCTGTCGGATCTGGGTGTGCTTGTGATTCAGGAGCCTCCCTTTCCTGTGCGGGGAGGGACATTTCTCCCTCAGTCTCACCTGCAGGAATTCACTTGCTGGCTTCTGACACTTCCCCTCCAGCTCACCGATACCCTTGCTGATAAGGGAAATCTGCACAGAGAGTTTCCTGACAGTGTCAGTCTGGAGCCTCCCAATCTCCTCATCCAGCTTCTCCAGCTGGGCCAGCAGGAGTCGCTCTTGTTCTTCCAGGAACTGTCGCAGCTGCTGAAACTCAGCCACAATCTTCTGCCTCTCGGCTTGTGTTTGTTTCTGTGTGAAAACAGGGAAAGGGCTGGTCAAGGGCAAGAATGGAGCCCAGGGCCCTTTCATGGAGAGCTGAGTGCGCAGCAGGGAGAATTTCTTGGAAAACCCTAAAATGTGTGACATTTGACTCTACTTTGTGATTACTAAGCAGAGGTGGCTCTCCCAGCATCTCGTTTGGCCCGTGTCCCTCAAAGGGATGTTCCCATGTCTGTCATAGGCAGCATCTTTTATTATTCATGGGCTCTGGAAATTCAGACCCTGAGCAGCATGAGGCAGGACTCATCACCAGCCTGACAGATACACCCAGGAAGGAAAAAGAATTAAATATGTTAATACACCAAGTGATCAGACAGCCCTTCAGGGGGACATTCAGCTCACTTGGGGAGGATGTCTGGGAAAACCACAAAGGCTGGACATTAACTCACGCACTGACATGGAAGCTCAGGGCCTGTCTACACATGGATCTCAGCCAACAATTCATGACCCAGGAAAAACACAAACAAGCCCAACGTCACCAAGGCCAAACAGGAGTCTGCCTCCTAACACAGCCCTCCCATGGCAGTCCCTGCTAGTTCAAACCACAGACACCTACCAGATACTCCTGGCATTTCCCTTCTGTTGTTGTTTTCCTTCCCAGCAGCTTTTCTCTCTCTCCCCTCAGAGTCTTCAAATGGGCCTCCAATTTTTCCTGAAGAAACAGATATAAGCACGAGGGCAAACCCCATCAGATGTTGGGAGCCCATTTGTCTGCCTTTAAGAGAGTCCCAGTTTTGTGGAACTCTGCCCCTGTCCAGCAGGGACTCAGCCCTGGGCATGGTTGTGTCCATAGAAAAAGACACAAGAGGAGACTGCAGATGCAGGACACCTATGAAGGCAGGGGAAGGATCAGTGGTGGCACCTTTATAAAAAATGCTGCAGGTGGGGATTAGGGAGGTAAAAATGGTTAACAATACTAATCATTAACAGATTACAATTTTATCAATGACAGTATTTTTTAACCTGCTGACAGGCAGGGGTGGTAGCGCAAATGGGCTGTCCTGGGCCAGGGATCTCTCGCAAGGTCTGCCAGGGTGGCCACAAGGACTGCTGGCTGATGGGAACTCCCAGCAGCTGCAGACTGACGTTGGCTGCCCGAGGGAAGCAGGCACTGCTGGGGCAGTGGGGAGTTTAACTAGTAACTAGCACGGATAAGCATTAGTTTTTCAGTTAACCAATTTGAACTCTTGCTACAATCCAGTTGAATCCTAGTTGTGTCTGGCATGGACCTGCACTTCCTGAAGTCCTGCTACAGGTGGACTGAAGGCGCTCAGGGCCCCACGCAGCATGCAGCCCAGCAACCTCATCTCGTGTCAGCGGCTGCATTCGAGTTTAACCCCTCATGGAGCACCTCAGAAGTTCAGCATCCCTGTTAGAAACCTTCACTTCCTGCCGGGCGTAGGGCTTTATCAAGGCATCTTTCCCTCCTAAAGGGCCACACTTCAGCACTGTTCAGTGATGCTGAGGGGCAGGGAGCAGTGTAAGTCTAACAGGGTACGGGGGCTAAACTCTATCCTGACATGTTTGGCGACTATGAGCGACTAGGTGCTGCCCCACCTTCCCTTCCCAGTTTGTCTAACTGGACTGTGACCTGCTCAGAGAAGGGACAGTCCCCCTTGCTGGATGCTGTGCAGGTCTCAGTTGCCACTTCAGATCTATAAGGCAAATGACAGATTGTTCCTCCGATCAACAACAGCTTGTAACCTCCTCTTCTCCAGTCCCAAGGCAACTCACTGACAAGAGTGGTCTGTACCTCCTGTGATCTAAACCTCTCTGATTGTTAACACCTTCCCTTGTGCAAACATCCCTCCTGTTACTAGTGAGAAACATTTCCCAAATCAGGCATCTTGACGTAAGTTGCCACAAATCAGAGCATTTACTTTTTACAGCATCTCTTGTATGCTTTACAGAGCTGTGTCACAGCTGTGCCCAGTAACTGTCAGTGAAATAACCCTGTAATTAAAACGCACTAGACAGCAACTCTGTACCTTGTACTCCTGAGCAGCTTCCTTTAAGGGCACCACCATGTGAGTCTGGGATCTGTCATACAGCACCACACAGATGGGAATTTGATCCTCTTCACAGAACAGCTTCAGAGCCTCCTGGTGCTCCCTGCACACCCCATCACATCTTGCTCTCTCTGCTGCCTGGAAACTCAGTGGCTTGGCTAGTTCCATCACGTTTGCCAGCTGCCAGTTGGGCCGGAGAAGTCCCTGCTTCTCAGTGTCTCTGCCCTGAGGGCTATGGGGGGCCTGGCAGAAATTGTGCCCACACTCCAGAGGGACAGGGGCTGTGAAATCCTCCAGACAGACGGGACACATCACTTCCTCCCGGAGACTTTCCACAGCGCTCTCTGCAGCCATGGCTGCCTCTGGGCTGGGGAACAGGGGTCGTGTCACTTTCCTGAGCTCAGCAATGGAGGGGTAGGTCCAGAGGGCGTGTGTGTGAGGCACCAGCACTGAGGATAAAAAAAACCCAAAAGTAAAAACCAAAAAAGCCCCCAAAAGTTTGGCTACGCACTGCCCCCACCAGGGCCTTCACTGACAGAGTGGCCTGTCTCTCCTGTGATCTAAATCTCTCTAATTGTTAACACCTTCACTTGTGCAAATACCCCTCCTGTCACCAGTGGGGGCTGGGTTTCAGGATTCAGAGTCTCAGAGAAACATTTCCCACATCAGGTACCTGTAAAGACTTTACATAAGTTGCTGCATTGCCAGAGCATTTATTTTTTATAGCATCTATTGTACCATAAAAGCTTTACAGAGCTGTCACACCTGCGCCAGGAAACAGTCACTGAAATTAGACTGTAATTAAAACCCAATGTTATTTCCCATTACACTGGACAGCAACTCTGTATCTTGTACTCCTAGGCAGCTTCCTGTTTGGGCACCACCGTGTGAGCCTGGGATCTGTCACACACAACACACATGGGAGTTCTCCGCACACCCCGTCCCATCTTGCTCTCTTTGATGCCTGGAAATTCAGCAGCGTGGTAGAATTAGCCAAATTCACCAGCTGCCTGTTGGGCTGGAAGGGTCCCGGCTCCTCAGTGTCTCTGCCTTGAGGGGCCTGGCAGAAATTGTGCCCACACTCCAGCGTGACAGTGGAGGATTTCACAGCCGAACAGACGGATGCGTCACTTCCTCCCGGACACTTTCCATGAGGCTCTCTGCAGCCATGGCTGCCTCCGGGCTGGGGACCGGGGCCGTGTCACTGTCCTGCGCTCAGCAATGCGGGGGCAGGTCCGGGGGCAGGGGCCTGAGGCAGCAGCACTGAGGATACAAAAAAAATCAAAATTAAAAACCAAAAAGTCCCCAA